GATCCCGACGCTTTCTTTGGTAGAAATAGAAGAGAAGCAAGGAAACCACAACCAAAGTTAAGATGTTGCAAAATCCTGATGTGCCTAAGGCTAAGAGGACCGAGAGAATGAGAACGACTTGATTCTGCTTTTTGTCGTTTGGATTTGGATTGGGAGGGTTCACCGGAGATTCATCTGATTTCAGTACCTTGATAAATACACTTCTGTCAATTTGGTCTTGATTGAATCGCCCATTTGAAAGCGGTAGTTTCTTCTTCCAGCAGCGTCCAGTGCTATTGTTCAACTGCGGAGCCTGCAGGATGGCTACTGCACAATTACAGTCCATAAGGCAAGACCCTTTGCATTCTGTCTCATTTACAGGTTGTAAGAGTTCGTAGTCACTAAAGGGCCAATCTGCAAATTGCATTGTATTGAACACAAAACGATCGTCCCCAATAGTAGAGCCTTCCTCGTTACAGTCTTCTGGCTTGCTCTGATAGTTGGGCCTGCATCCAAAAAGTGGATTCTTAGCATCCAGTACAGAAAACCCGATTGGGCACCCACATATTGCCCTCCCATCCTGGTCAGGTTGACAGATGCTGTTGTACCCACAAGGACCACTTCCCAGTGGATCTGGACTCACGAAGCTGGAGCAGATATCCTTAGGTCTATACCACCTGGATGCCCAGGTTGCATCTCCATTGGAGGTCTTGGAGCGAGAATAGAGGGTGAAAACTCCATCAAAACCAAGTGTTGCCCTGTAGTATGAGTCCTGATTTGCGACTGTATTGTTTGGCGCAAGTACGACAAGACTTCCACTTGATTTCCTGATCAGGATATACCCGGATTCGTTGAAGATCAGCCTGGAACCATCTGTGATGTTTAAGTAAAATTGGAAAGGTTTTCCGGTGCGGACATCTATTTGATTGAGGACTAGAGTTTCGGAGGTGAAACGGAGCTGAAATCTCCCCTTCTGGTAGCTTGTTTCGGAGATGGCTGATGAAAGGATGCTGTCTAGGCCTAGTTCTTGTCCTGGCAAGATTGTGTCTGTTGGATTTTGGAAGCTCTCCCATATGTTGTCTGAATTCCTGCCTGTGATGACAAAGTTTCCGGTATCCAGCATGGCTGCATGGGATACTTCTCCAGTGCCATCTTGGATGCTTTTAGACGACCAAAGCTCCATGCCAGAAGGAGCTCTGAGCACTAGGCCACTGGAGTTAAGCTCAACTCTGGATCCTATCTCTGCAGGGTTGTCTCCATTTGCAGACCAAACTATGGTTTTTTCGGGTAACTTGGCGAACCAGATAGCAAGGATGAATCGATCTTGTTGATCTGGAGCACGGTAAAACCCAAGTGCAAAATCACCGGATGGCGAATGCCATATATGGTTTCGATCATTGGCAGGGAGAAAATCGCCCACGCTTACATTATGGAAACCACCTTGAGCAGCCGCAAGGACCAAAAAACTACTTAGGAGGATGAGGAATGGATTCCGAAGAAGGTCTATAGATGAAACCATGGAATCAGATGAGTAAGAAGTGATTGTAAATCCCCAGAGAAAATTTGGGAGCTTCCTGTTTTTGTGAGGTATTTATCGAAGCTAAGCTGCCTTATTTTCAACACGGAAATCGCTTTGACTGCTTGAGAGTCACACATGACTTGCACGAACTGGACACGGAGGGAAAGATACGTAAAAGATGGCATCTTTCCATCTTCTTGAAAATTATACCTTAGTTACATTAGAATTTCCGAATTTCATACTTAGTCTTCTTGATTGAAATTTCATTCCATTCCTTGTCTTCCTCTCTGTATTCTAGAATTAAGCAGAAAATGATTCTCAAAGGTCGTTAACGGAAAGGAAGAAAAGCGGTTCCCTTGTGTATCTCTGGAGCCTTAGCTCTCTTGTGGATTCTTTAGTGCTTTCAAAGCCAGGGGCTTTACAGCTTCAGTCTGCCAATTCCAAATGTTACCTTACGTGACAGCATGATTTTATTTTTTTATTATTATTAACTACAGTAATCCTCGCTCACCATCAGGTTGACATGCATCGCCTCAGTCCAAAGACAAAACTTCTCATCATCGGCGGCTAACTCATTCAACTCGAGGAGCCCCCTCATCTTTAACGGAGAAATCTCCTGGAAGCATACCTTCAACTTTAATTGCCCTAACACTACGTTGGAAAATATATATATATATATTATAATTATCCCTATAAAAATTTGAACATTATTATAAAATAAAATTTTTATTACACTAAAATGTTCTTTTAATCTAATAAACACCCCCCTTTAAAGTACTTCTCAAAAAAAAAAAAAATATTATACATTGTCCGTCAAGTGCGGCTGCTTGGGTAAGATAGCATAATTTTATTGAAAAGCAAAGACTTTTAAAAGTAAAAAGTTTCTTTCAATGTTCAAAGATTCCACTACTGTAACTGTAAGAAGGGTAAAATTGTTTGAATATTCAAAAGACTTTTAAAATTTCTATTTTTGATGGTAGACTTTTCAAAACTAAAAAGCTAGGTCAAATAAATTTTTCTTTTTTTGGAACAAGTTTGAAATGGGGTGGGGGTATCGAACCCAACTCCGAGTGGGTGAAAAATGCACCTATCAAGATGGTTAATATCATTAAATTAAAAAATTAAGTGGAAGTTAAATAAACTTTTATTATTTAATGTTTAGATTATATAAATTTTTATTGTTAAAACTTCTTTGATAAATTTTTTAGTATCAATTTTTTAAGATTATTTTTCGACAAATTTTTATTGACTTTTTTTGCAAGAATTTTGTTTAAAGAACACTTGCACAGAAATTACGAAGAAGCAAAAAAATAATAATGATAATAATATAATTCAAGTTACGGACATAAATTTCCATTTTAGGTATTGGCATTGGAATTTCTGTATTTAATTGCAGTAAATGGACTCTGTTGCTCTGCAATTTCTACAGATGAATATACATAAATTCCCCATTCACCAACTTGTTATAACACATCATAAATGCTCTAGTGGTGTGGCTTCCTGTTCTTGGGTCCTAGTCCTGGCAATCCTTTCAACCCACCCCTCCAATCCCCATTCTAGTTTTTACCAAGAGCTTTGGTTTTCTGTAAAAAAGTTTAATCAGTGTTCATGTTTAACAGCTTAGAAGCAGCAGTTTATATGTAACTTCACGCTGACATTGCGGGAAGCGCCTTGAGCTGCTGCAAGGACGAAGAAACTACTTAGGAGGATGAGCAATGGGTTCCGTAAAAGGACTATAGATGAAATCATGGAATCAGATGAGTAAGAAGTGACTGTAAATCCCCAGAGTAGAAAACTTGGGAGTTTCGTTATTTTGTGAGGTATTTAGCGAAGCTAAGCTGCCTTGTTTTCCACACGGCAATTGCTTTGACTGCTTGAGAGCCACACATGACTTGGACGGACAGGACAGGGAAGTCAAGATACATCAAAGACGGTATGTTTCCATCTTCCTGAAAATTAGCCTTCTTGATTGGAATTTCATTTAATTCGCTGTTCTTCTCGGTATTCTAGAAGCAGAAAATCTTTCTCAAAGGTAGTTGATGCAACTTTGGAGGGGTTGGATCAAGTGGTAAGTGGTTTGTTCCAGCTTAAGTAAGGTATCGAGTTCGAGACATTGTGTACGCAGCAGCCTCCGTTGGGAGACTTACCCACTATTTCTAGATGCGTGACTAAGGTTGATCCGGATTAGTCGGGGCGAGGCCCCAAATACAGGACGGGAAACCAAAAAAATAAAAGGTCGTTGATGGAAAGGAAGAAAAGCGGTTCCCTTGTATACGTCTGGAGCCTTAGCTCTCTAGTGGATTCTTTAGTGCTTTCAGAGCCAGGAGCTTCACAACTCCCAGTCTTCCAATTCCAAATGT